GGACAAGATAGAATAAACCTCACAGTAAACATCCTATGGCAAATCTGGAATGCATGAAACAAGATGGTATTCCACTGTGAGAACACGGAGGCAAAGCAGATTGTTGATAAAGCACATCAAGAATGGATTGAGTATGATAATGAAACTGTTGCAGATGCAAGAAACAATGTCACTCCAGAAATTGGCAGACAAAAATGACATGGCTGGGAACCACCTAAGGAGGGAGTGATCAAAATAAATACAGATGCGGCAATACCAGCTAAAATGGTAAGAACAGGCTTGGGGATAATAGCCAGGAACTGGCTTGGAAAAGTTGTGAAAGTGAAAGGAATATCTGAATGCAAGAGAGGAGAAGCAAGCAAAAAAGAAGCACTAGCTATTAGAAGTGCTCTAGTAATGGCAAATGACGCAGGTTGGACTAACATAGAAGTCCAAACAAACTGCAAAGGAGTAGTGGACCAAATCAACATAGGCAATGTTCATGACAGTAGCATAGAAACAGTCCTGAAGGACATTGGTGACCTTAGATAGGAGTTTGAATATTGCAGATTCTGTTTTGTTCCTAGGGCTGGAAATGGTTGCAGCCATTTCCTGGCACAATATTCTGCCAAACAAGTTAAGAATATTGAATGGGAAAATAATTTCCCAACGTGGCTAATAGATCTAGCAATAAAGGATATGGGGGTAGTTACCCCTTTTTATAATTAGCTCTTGTATTATCAAGTGTTCATAGCTATAAAATGTTGACATTTGTTGGAAAAAAAAAAGATTATACTGCCCCCAAGGACGATTGTTGTAAGTTGAATGTCATGAGGTTGTACTGAAAAAAACACCGCTTTAGTTGAGACACTTAGGCAAACACTACAAGTTTTCCATGGGTTTTGCATCAAATTGATTTTCCAGAAAAGGATAAAGTTTGCGTGCTTAACTAAATAGCATATTCATTAGCATCATCAAAGAAGCAATTGTGGACACATTACAATACAAAAGTTTTACATTTAGAAAGCACAGACTGCAAAAAAAAAATGATGTTTAAGCATAGCCATAAGAATTCTAAAGGATGAAACTATGAAAATAAGAGAGGAATGATTAAATTCTCTCTAACTCAACAGGAAAACAAGCATTTATTCTCCTTGTCCTTCAAACTATTGATACTACAAGGCAACAAAGAATATTTAGAGGCTAAGAGTTCCTTGACTTTAGCAAACTTAACAGTCAATAAATTTATACAACTATTTAAGCCCAAAGGCTAAGGAAACAATGACTCCAACTTTGACAGGAACCAAAAATATAAATAAACTAATTTCAAATTCTTATTGCCCTAAGTTGCAATGTGACACAAGGACTTTAGCATTAGTTTGAGTTACACAAATACCTTTAGACACCACAAACCAAACAAAACATAATAGTTATCCTATTTACGGGCAAAATCACCTGAATACATTCCAACTAGTAACTGAAACAGCCAGCAAAATCCAACTATCCACCATTATCTGTAATACTCAGATTGCCCTTAATTCTAGTAAGTGAATGCGTCAACACATCAACTATCCACTGCTTGACCAAGAAGATACAATCAGGATGTTCAAATATATGAGAAAAACTCCCTTGTAAGTTCAATGTATGCAATGAATTGCACAAGACTAGATATTTCTTATTCAGTGTATAGACTAGTTAGGTATACCAAGAATCCAGGTAAAGATCATCGGAAAGCAGTAACTAGTATCCTTGGTTATCTTAAAAAAACCAAAGATTTGGATCTATTCTACAATAATTTTCAAGTGTTCTTGAGGGGTATATAGATGCTAGTTGGGTAACTAGTATTGGTGATCAAAATCCTACTAGTGGATGGATGTTTATGCTGGGTGGTGGAGCTATTTCTTAGACTTCAAAGAAACAAACTTTGATTACTCATTTCACCGTAGAAGCTGAATTCATGGCTTTATCTTCTAGACACAGAGAAGGGGAGTGGTTAAGAGATTTATTACTTAATAAATGTGTGGCCTTATCCTATGCCTGCAATTGCATTGCATTGTTATAGTGACGCTACTATATTTAGAGTATTGAACAAAGTGTACAATTGTAAATCTGGGCATATAAGTTTGAGGCACACCTGTATTAGACAAATGTTGAAAGATGGCATTGTCACAGTTGTGTTTGTAAGAACTCATAATAATTTAGCGGATCTGTTGACTAAAACTCTTGCGAGGGACTTGGTGAATTGGACAACATCGGGAATGGGATTAAAACTATTTGTCTAGAATCAATAGCAATGGTAAGCCAATGTTCTTCTAGTACTACCCCTAGTTAGAAAGGTTTAAAGGGTAAAAACAAATTGCTAATAAGTGATTGTGAGTACTATAATTTTTGTTATACCATTCCAAGTGGTAGTACATCATGTTACTCTTAATCAAGCAGGTTGAGAAGTATTCTCTTAATAAACATATTTCTTAGTGCTTTATTTGTTAAAGTTAGAAATATAGTTTACTATATGATCATAGAAGTGGTGCCACTTCTAATAAAAGTTTAGGATAATCTTTTATACATGATCATGAACTAGGATAAGCACATGGTCGGTAATAGTGCTAAAGATAAAATATGATTGTTGGATGCAAGTTGATTAGTTCATGTGTGTGATAATTCTGTTTTAATTTCAAATCTTGGTTTAAGCAATCTAACCACCTCGATTTGATTAGAACTTGTGAATTACTTGAACTGAGGAAAAGTTTAAAACAAAAGTTACTTTTCTTTATGCATGATATCATAAGTGATGGTTTAGCATTTCATACTACAAACTAAGTGGGGGAATGTTGGAAATTAGTTTGTAGTATGAAAATTGATCGTGACTTGTGACATGATTTTTCTTTTGATGTCTAGAAGTTTGGTTTATGAATTTCCTACAAAATTCATAGGTACATTTATGTTTCTTCTCAAGTTCATAGTTCATGGAAATACTCAATTCATGTACTTGAAATACTAAATTCATCAATGGACATTACATGAAGATACATTGTCGTATCTTCTCAAGTTCATTAGTTCATGTATTTGGTGTGCTATATTCATAAATGGACATTAAATGAAGTTCATATACTTTTGCTCTTGAATTGCCTATAAATAGAGGCAGTCCAAACCTTTCTTGTGGCAACTTGTACTTAAGCTATTTTAGATTTGCAAAACCAACTTCTTGTATCCCTTTCTTGTGAAAATTAAGTTTAAACTTGTTGTAATCTAGTTTTCATTTCCATTATATCCTAGAGGTAATTTGCCATCTCAACCCGGTTAGCAAGATAGTGGGGACAAATAGCACCTTAAAGAGAGTGATCACCTTGGAAACTCTCTTGAATTCCCCAAAATTAGTTTAGTAAAGTTCTTGATATTATTCTTGTAATAGCTCTGTAGTAGATTCCATACACATGTAATCCCCATATTCTTCGACATCAACAATCCATAAAAACTTCCAAATTGGGGGAGCCCTGAAATTGCATTGTGGGATAAGCCAAATCTCAATGTAGAGAACACGAAACTTCTATATTTCCAATAACCCTAACACAATAGATCTCTTATCATTTAAAATTTCATATCTTATCATTAAAATTTCATATATATCATATAATTATACATGTATTTTGCATATGAATAGTTTTGGCTGAGTAGAGAAAGAGGATGAGAGAGAGAATTATTTTGTGTATGAATAATTTTGGTTGAGTAGAGAAAGAAAATGAAAGAGAGAGAGTATTAGAACTGAAAGAAAAAGAGAGGAGAGAGGATTTGCAGAGAAATTTGCTGATTTATTATGTCATGTACATTGGGTATATTGTTAGAAAACTTTCCTTTCACGTATTCCAATATTTTGCTAGGTAACGGGCCCATATAAGTTAAATGGTCATTCTGTCAAATTGTGCAAAATACCACTTGTGAGGCCCATTTCCGTTTATGGATAGTTCGATAATCATCATCCATTAAAATCCAAACCACTCAACACCCATTTAGTAATTGGTTGAACTGGATTGGATCAAATTTAATCCATGAATCATTTCATTCAAATCCAAACCATTTAACACCCATTTACTAATTGGATTGAACTAGATTGGATCAAATTTAAACCATGATCCATTTAATAAAATCAGAAATGATCCAATTATTCATTTACTAATTGAATTGAATAGGTTCGATTCTAATCATTATTACAGATGAGATACACTTCCAGGATTATAGTTCACTTTGTAGTTTCACTAGCTGTCTATGTCTGGTGTGGTTTGATCTGCAAGTGTAGAATTCAATTGACACGTGGAGCCGAGGACGAGCGACTTTCTTCCTAATTGGGTGAGGCGTGCTAGTTGTGAGTTTACAGTTCACTTACTATGCATGGGTTTCTAATTTCCTTTAAGGCAGATTGAGAGGCATTTTATTCTTCTTAAGGATTGCCTTGTGGTTTTTTTTAGCTTGTACTCATGCAAATTGTTGGCTTCAATATAACAGCATAAGTTTAATGGTGTTTCCGCGTGTAACATTAGCTTGAAGTTTGAATTTGCAATTTACTTGGGTCGTGTGGATTTTGAATGTCTTTAAGCCAAATTGAGAATTGTTTTATAGGAATTGGTCTGGCCCCCTTTTTTCTTTTGGCTTGTATGTGAAGAGGATTGCTGTGAACTCTGCTTCTATATAGCAGGCAATTTTATACTTCGCACCTGGAGCATAGATTTGGAATTTTGGTAGTCAACAATTAAGGTTACCTTTTTCATGCTTTTTCGATTTGAGGTGCGACAGTTAAGGGTCCTGCATTGTAGGCAGCACTATTTATTTGAGGGTTGACACTTTTATATTAGTAATAAAGATAAAAAAAAATGACATACAAGTACAGCAGACAATTGTACATCAGGTTTTGAAAAGATTTAAGTTTGATTTTATATAGAGGATAGAGTAGAAAATGGTACGGGCGTGGAAAACCCTTGGTTTTGTACTTCATAGCTATAATTTTATAAGAACGAAGGAATTGAATAATGAGTCATAAACATGATGAAGAAGAAGACATAAGCGCTGAGGTCCGTGAACAAGAGCACTTCTTGGTCCCACCAGAGCATGAACTGTCAACTCAACAAGGCCAATAGTAAGTGCAAGGCTGATAACAAGTCATACGAAATCATTCTACACTTATTTTTTCCTATTTTTTGGGTACAACAAAACGTAAGTCATTGTTCACTTTTTTAGCATCTCAGTATGAATTAGTGTAGAAATTAGTGTAGTTTTGTTTATTGTAGCTTGTCCTCATATATTGGTTCGGAATTGGCATGAATGCAGACGTAATGCAACCCGGCGGCCTAGTTCGTGCTGTTCCCTAGCCCTGCCCTGATCCCAGAGTAAACTATGTAAAAGTCAGATAATAGTTCGTTATCTGGACCCAAATTTTTGATAATCTGACTCTTTTAAAGGTTGACCTTGGGTGAGTGGGGAAGGACAGTCTACTCTGAAGCCTGAACCAGAGAAACAGAAGAGTAGTGCGGAGACTGCAGAGTCTGTAGGCGCAATGTTTTGGCATCTCTTAACAGTTTTTGCAGCAACGGCTCTTCACTTCAGTGCCACTGGTGAAGCTTCTGAATGTTTGACCGATGGCAAGTTTATACTTCTCAGGATTCCAACTCGTGTTTCTTTTCATTTTGCTTTCTTATTGAGTTGTTTCTGTTCAACAAAATGATTGAAACATTATGTGGATCATGATAAAAGGTTTTCCATTAGTGAGAAATGTTAGCAAGCTTCCACAAGGTAGCTTCGGGATTCCCGGTTTGTCTCACAGCACCCTTGCGGGTTCAGTCTTGCATGGCATGAAAGAGGCAAGACACTATTTTGTCGGTATTTTTACAGCATGTTTTACATCTCAAGGTCGTGCTTCTCCCGCTTCCTCTCTTTTTGCTAAAGTTCGATCAGTAGCAGCAGCTTCAGCTTTATGATTGTCCGTACATGTCTAATTCAGCCAAATTGTTAACAATTAAGCTATGGCATTCTACTAATTCCTGATGCATGTTTGTTTGGAAAAGTAGGCAGATTGAATATTAAAAGAATAGAAAGGAAAGAAAAAGAGTAAATTGTTGAACTAGTTACTTCTGATTTAAACTTATAGGTTGAGGTATGGCTGCAAACATTGGCTCCGGGAGCTCGCACCCCAATCCATAGACACTCATGTGAGGAGGCATTCCTGGTCCTAAAGGGGAGTGGCACTCTCTATCTTACGACAAATATGCACCCCGAATTCCCTGGGAATCCACATGAGTTCCGTATCTTCTCAAATAGCACATTCCTTGTCCCTATTGATGATGTTCATCAGGCAAATTCTCCTCTCTATTCCCCTCTATTTTTTATTTTTATTTTTTTGGAGGAGGTAGCCAAGTTACATACTCTGTTTCTTATACTGACATCAAAATTAGTAGTCTGTTATATTTGTATTTAACAAATTTTCGAAGATCACAACTTTGTGTCAGTACCTTAACATCACGGTACTTCAATTACAATTGATACCAGGTCTGGAACACAAATGAGCAGGAGGATTTACAAATTTTGGTTATTATATCTCGTCCACCTGTGAAAGTGTAAGCATATTATCCTCTTTCATCCACCTGTGAAAGTGTTAGTGTATTATCCTCCTTTACGGCAGATAGCTAACAGTCCATCTTGAATCCTGAAAGCTGAAGATCTAAAGACAACAGCAATATATTTTTTACATGTATTGTGCAAAATCATCTTCACTTGGCTTTTTCCAACATAAAGTTCGTTCACTCTCAGCAAAATAACTGTCCATCAAATCAATCATCAATACGTTTCCCTCCGATGCATACCGAGTTTTGACGGGTAGTATATATTGAACTTGTCATCTGGGTTCTTCCTTTCAGGTTCACATATGATGACTGGTTTATGCCACATACAGCTGCCAAACTACTCTTCCCTATCTTCTGGGATGCAGTGTGTTTCCAGACGCCTTTGGAAAGAGACGAGCTTTAACTTTCCAATACAAAAATCACTTGGATTCCGCTACACATTGGGTTCAAAAAACACTTAGAAATATATCCGAGTATAACGCGTGCTGTATCATGATTTTACTTGTGTATTTTGTAAACCTTCCTTTTCTGCTGAAATTGGGGTTTGAAACTCTGAGTTCAGCACAAACTGAGGTCCATTTGATTTCCACCTGTATGTTTCCATGCTTGCAGAAGTACTTTTTTTTTTGTCAAAAACTACATGTGATGAAAATTTTACAGCCATGAATGAACTATTAGATAAATTTCCTGCAGAAAGTTACTGGCATGGAAAAAGAGATAGGTTTTGCTGCAATTTACACGCAAATGGGGTTTTGACTAATAATTAAGCAAGGCCATATTAAAACTCACTTAAAAGTGGATTAGCCCTCAGCAGGTTCACCTTTTCCCATTTGCCTCGTTTAAGAAGTTTCCCTCGCAAGAATGACATACGATTACTGTCTACAGCAAAACAGTAACGCATCATATTACCCAAAATGAAAAAATAAATACAACAATAACGCATCATTTTACCCAAAACAAAAAAAAAATAAATAAATATATTCTATGCATCGACAATTTGGCATCACATTTTAAAAGATGTGCCGTTGACTCTCTATAGATGATAGGAGTGGACAAGTAGTAACGTGAGTATCCAATCCATATATATAAAAGGAGTTTCTAGGGTGATGGTTTATGTGCCTCATGGAAGGGGTAATTTAGTGATTTAAGGTTTGCTTTACTAAATTGGCTGAACAGATTGTATAATAGCTTAATGCAAGGGAAGTGGTAGACTTTATGGTCTTTATCAGCGTTTATCAGCTTTTAATTACAAAGTACAAACTATTATACAAACTACTATGAAAAGGTGGTTTAATTGCAAACTTAATCATATTCCTGAATTAGGACATATTTAACGGGAAATAAGTGGAGGAGTTGTGTTTTTTTGCCGTTACTATAGTAACCTCCATCTGCTGGAATTCTTCTCATTTAATTATAGTTTTCACGGACAGCAATTATGCTGTGTATTAGATTGGGATTTTGCTTCCATTTTGCAGCAGTTTTCTGAACAGGTACGTTTTGTTGAGGCCATCCATTTTTTGGTTTTTAGCATTAGGTATTTTTGTGTTTTTGTTTTTCTACAAGCAATCTATAACCTTTGTATGTGTTGTAATGTTCCACCGTTTGAGTTGAGTTGTTCATGTCAAATTTCTAAAATTGATAAAATGTTTTATGTTTTCTGTTGCTGCAATTTGTGGAGAAATGTATTCTTCAACTGTATATAGTCGATAATTACTATCTTTATGTAGATAGTTATTGGATTTGTTTTCCCATCTGTTTAGTTATCTGCTTTGAATCAAATTATTTAGCATGCAAATTATGTTTATATATAATTACTTATTTTGTGTTGGACCAACAACAAAGAGAATACTAGGTAATGGCTGCAAAACTAACTAGAAAAAGGTTTCAAATCGTGATTACAAATCACTTTCCTTAAAGCTTTATTCATCCACTATAATGTGCAAAAGACCAAGGATGAATATATATCCTCTACGATAATATGAAGTTTGGTTACAAAAACTCTACTCTAAGTTGTTATAACCCCCAAAAAACAAAGAAGAGAAGAGCAGAAATTTTTCTAGAACTTGTAGATCTTGTCTGCAGCCAAAAGACCACAAATTGATCCATATAAATAAGATTTCATGTCCCTTAGATGGTTATTGAATGTTAGAAATTTGTCTAGAGATGCATCCCTTCAAATGGCGGTTGAATCATTTGAAACTTGAAAGGTTGCAAGCACAATAGCAGAAAGCTGAAAATTTGAAATTTTCAATAATTGAAAATTCTTTAACAATCCCCAGCAATTTTCAATATATTGAAAATTTGTTTATAGATCACTGAAAAATTCTGATAACCTATGCATGAACAATGATGTCTTTCGATTGAACCACCATTTTCATGTTAATTGAGTATAACTTGTTAATCCTACTTGGTAGACAAGTTTTGAGTCTCGAGTATATGCAACAAACCACATAAATTAACATACACAGATTCACTTCTCTTCAATTTGTTTATACAAATGATACATTAGGTCTTGTATCCCTATCCTTTCATGAACCTGTTCAAAGTTAAGTTCTAACTTTGTGGATGCCATCAATCCAACATTCATACAGGCAAGCTCTTAATGCTCCCGCCATTTATAGCATTTTAAAGGACTTGTTAAGAACTCTAGTTCAACCTTCCAATTTCAAGCGGGAAAAATCACACTACACCTTCTGGGATGTTAGGCTGGTTGTTATAACTAGTGTTGAATCAAGGTTCCATTGTTAGTGATTCATGGATTGGACTTCAATCCCATCTCATTAGATGTTTTAATCATCACTTCCTTTGTTAATCCCTTAGTTAAAGGATCAGCCAGGTTCTCTTTTGATCTTATAAAATCTATGGTTATCACACCATTTGTGATCAAATCTCTTACTAGACTATGCCTTAATCCAACATGTCTAGATTTGCCATTGTACACTTGGCTATAAGTTTTAGCAAGTGTAGCAGCACTATCACAATATATGGAGATTGGGGAAATTGGCTTTGGCCACATAGGTATCTCTAATAGTAAATTTCATAACCATTCAGCTTCTTTGCTAGTTGATGCCAAAGTTATAAATTCAGCTGCCATGGTGGAGATGGTTATGCATGTTTACTTCTTGGACGCCTAAGAAATTGCTCCTTCACCTAACATAAAGACCGATCCACTTGTAGTAGAATGATCATCTTTATTTGTCATCCAACTACCATCTGAATAACTTTCTAATACTAAAGGATAGCCACCATAGCAAATGTTATAGTCTTTGGTATGTTTTAAATACCTCAAGACTCTAGTTACACCTAACTAATGCTATTTGTTTGGATTACTTGTGTATTCACTTAACACGCCTACAGCCAACGCTAAATCTGGCCTTGTACATGTCATTGCATACATCAAACATCCAATCACTTTGGTATAAGCCAATTGAGACACAAGATCACCAACATATTTAACAAAGTCAATTTTTTGGTCAATGGAAATTAAGGCAGGCTTACAATCTGTGAAAGCAAAATTTGTCCTTGTTCTCTCTTAATTATTATTCCTAGGATAACATCGGCCTCTCCCATATCGTTCATTTCAAACTTGCATCATAGCAACTTTTTGGTCTCATTGACTTGTTTTAAGTAAATACCAAAGATTAACATATCATCCACATATAAGCAAATAATGATACCTTTACCTCTCATATACTTGCTATATACACATTTGTCCGATTCATTAATTTTGAACCCACTTGTAAGCATTACCTGGTCAAATTTTGGTGCCATTGTTTTGGTGCTTGTTTTAATCCGTACAAGGACTTTACAAGTCTATACACTTTGTGCTCTTGCCCAGGTACAACAAACCATTCAGGTTGTTTCATGTGCACTTCTTCATCCTATTCACCATTAAAAAATGCAATCTTGACATCCATTTGGTGAATTACCCATTTTTGGATTGAATCTATCACAAGTAGCACCCTCATGGTAGCTATTCTCACTACCGGTGAGTAAGTATCAAAATAATCAAGGCTATGTTTTTTAGTAAAGCCCTTGGCAACTAATCTAGCCTTAAACTTGTCTATGGTTCCATCCACCTTCAATTCCTTCTTGAAGATTTTCCAAGCAATTGGCTCAGAACCTAGTGGTAAATCCACTAACTCCCAGGTTTTATTGGCCATAATTAAGTCCATCTCATCATTTATAGCATGTTTCCAAAATGAAGCGTCATGTGACTCCATTGCTTCATCAATGTTTTAAGATTGGTTTCGGTATTAAAGTAATAAGGAATAGTATTACTTATTTCATACCTTGTCCCTTCAACAAGGTAAGTAACAAAATCTAAGCCAAAAGACTTCGCCTTAAAGATTGTAGGAACAACAACAAAGAGAATACTATGAAATGGCTTCAAAACTAACTGTCGCGCCCCATTTTTCACGATGAAAATAAGGTGTTTACAAAAGATGTGATTTTATTTAAAAATAAGTGGAAAAGGACCTAGAATGGGACTTTAAAGAATGCGACAGTTTCGGTCCAAAATTTAGTCTAAAAAGGTTTTTAAGAAAAATAGAAGTCACTACTTGGTATTTGTGAGAACCTTAGAATTTTCATATTTTCTTAGTCTATTGTTTATTCTCATTTTCCCTCTTAAGTGAAAATTTGTTAATTAATCGTTTTAAACAAAGGAAGGTTTGTTGTTATGTATATTTGTGTGTGAGATACGTATATATGTGTATGTGTTAGAAGTACAGTTGATCGTGGCAATCGAACTTGGAAAAGAGGAAAAAATTTTTGCGAAAAGACCGAAGGGCCGAATCCGGCCGGATTGTTGAGGGTTTTTGAAAAAATTGACTTTGCTACTGCCTTGAATCCGGCCAAGAATCCGGCCGGATTGTGACGTGGCACAGGCGGCCACCAACTTTGACCGCTTGTTTCCTTCCATTTTATATAGCTTTTGGCCCAAAAATATCTTCATTTCACCCTTGCTCAACCGTGAGTCATAGAGAGAAGAAAGAAAGCTCTTCAAATTCTAGTTTCAATTTTCTCTTAGATCTGGAGTTTTCACCATTAGAATTTAATCTACTCCGTACAAGTGCTAGCTAGGGTAGACTAGAGGTCTTGGTGGAGTTATTTTTGGAAGAGAAGCCCTAAGTTTCTACCTTTGTTGAGCTCATAAGGTGAGTTGTTGAGAAATTCCCTTTTTGGTTCTAATATTGGTTAATTAGTGACTTGTAAAGGCTAGAGGTGCTATATTGTGGATGATTTCATGGTTTTAAGTCAAGTTGGTTCAATTTCTGATTTATTGGGTATTTTTCTGACTTTATATGAAAGTCATGGATTAGTCTTGGATTGATAGATTGAAATGGGGTTAAATGGAACCTTTGTGCGTTAATTTCGTTTGTTTGCGGAAAATTTACGCTT